AAAGGGTAATCATAGTTGTTAAATATAGTAAATACTCCTGAAGTTGCATTTTATTCTCTGTATATTCTGTATCATGGCTTGAGAACTCCATGTGCTACTGGAGTTCAGTTGGCTTTCAGTGCTCTGCCCGTGCCTGTGCTGCTCAGTATGGTTTTTTCCATGAAAACTCTATTTTGTAATAGCAATAAGACATTTCAGGGCAGTCATTGTATTTTCTCAGGTGAATGGTCACCTATCCTTTCACTTCTTACATTTTAAGCACTCCTCCAAATGTATTTTTTTTTTTCACCCAGCAGTGCACTTTGTTGTCTGAACTGAAAAAGTGTTCTGATAAATGGTGTAAATCTGTATTCAATGGAAGTTCCAAAAGGTTTCATATTAAATGTTTTCTGAAATACTCTCTTCCTACTTCACCTGTTAAATATGTAGTTGTTTCAGAAAAGTGCACCGGTATCATACTTTGGATATTTAAAGTTTGTACTTAAGTATTTTTCTTAGTGTTCTCAAAAGGTTCTTTGAGAGTAAATCTGTATTTGAGGTATTAAAAAAAAAAACCACCACAAAACCTTATAAGAAACAGATTTTTAACAGCTTCCTTCCCAAATGCCTTGTAAAATTATCAAGTTGCAAGAATATACGCTTGTTTCTTCAGCATACTGCACGCTTACTATTGAAGCCTCTGGGATTTGCCTGGAAAGGAAAACTGCTTCCTTCAGATCTCCAAACCAAAGACAAGCTTCTTCCTGAACACAGACCTTGTACTTGTTCATATTCCTTGGGGGTCTGTGTAGGTGTATCAGCACTGCTGTTGCTGGTACGACTCTGCAGAACTACAGCTGTTTTTTCTCTCCTTAAGAGAACAAGTTTTAAAAATAATTGGAGGTCAGTGCGTGGTGAGGATGTAACAGCAGGCGTAGCTGTTTCCAGATGCGTGTCTAGCAGCCGAGAAGTGGTTTTGTGTAATGGCGTGACTGGTGTCCTGGAACGTGTGATCCGGATGGTGTGTTGAGAAGCGTCTGTAATGGCTTGTGACTAAAGGTTTGCATCGCTAAAACCCACGTCATCCAGTTCTGAAGATGTCTCTTGGTTGCTGGATCTGGCAGAGAAAAATGTCTTCAGCGTTTGGGTTGGGGAGGGTTGACTGCTTGAAATGAAAGTTTTTAGAATACGTACATAAAACAATGAACACTGAGCAGAACAAACAAGTTCAGGTAAACTTTCTCATGCAAACCTTTCCTGTACTTAGGTTTTCTAAAACACTGCAGTCTGTTTTACCTCTTCAGAAGGTCTGAGGTCCTTGAACATGTTGAGAAGAAGTAGAGAGAGGTAGGTTAGAGTAACACCTAGTCCTGCTGGTCTAAGTGTTTTGCATACTACTTTTATTCAGGCTACAGCATCTGGTCCAATCTTGGTGGGTTCAAAGATTTTTAGTACAGAGTAGGGCAAGGTTCACCTTTTTCTCTTGTACTACAGGGCAATTTCAAGATCAAATGTAGTGAGGTACTGAATCCCAAATTTTTTTAATTGAAGCATTTTTTTGTCAAGATAAAATTGATTTTTTTTTTTAATGGTATGAAACTAGTATCGACATGTTTATGTTAAAGAAATGAAGTCAGGTTCAGGTGTCTTTCTAGTCATCCAGAAAGACTGTAGCAGATCTCGAATTTTAATAGAGATCTCTCCCATTCAGTTAAAAGCTCAGCTATACGTGGTCCTGTGGGGATAACGTGTAGAGGCTTTTAATCAGTCTTTCCCACAGCTGCTGTGTCATACACTGTGGCGTGGCTTGCAATTTAATTAGGACTGCAGCCAACCCAGAGAACCATTTTCTCTGTTAATCCCTGGTCTGGAGCAGCAGTACGTACACAGCTGCTTTGACTTAAAACCCGCCTGGTTGTGCTGGTTTTGGTTCCTGAAGGGCTGGGGGGGAAACCTCGCTGGGTATGGGCAGAGGCTGCCTGTGAGCTGGTGTCGTTTTCTGTATTTCAAGGGGGAGGGGTGGTGGTTGGGTGTTTCTTCCTGTGCAGTCTGTGATCAGCTATCCAAGACCACGTCTTTTCTTAGCAACCTAAAGAGGTGAGAATCTCAGTAGTAGATGGTATTTCTGCTATTTGAGGGGAGGTCATACTAATGTAAAATACTTGTTTTAAATTTAAACTTTAAATTCACATTGCAGATGTTCAGGAAATACTAAATACAGTTTGGAAAGCTGAGCCCACTGTAGATTAATGTTTAATTTTAAACATGTAGATTTGCAATTACCTGTATTTCCAACTGTCAATACAATCTCATTTCTATAAGTTTTCACAGAAAAGCCCTGGAGCTTTCCCGTAAAGATAGGCTCATGTTATTACAAGTCACTGGTGCTGCCAATTAAATCCCCGATCTGACATTCTGATGAACTATGGCTGTGAAAATTCCACCTTTGACTGGAGTTTTTCCCTCTGGTAGCAGTGAATTGTTTTATTGACTTCAGCACTGACGGTTACTCCATCGCTTCAGAGAACAAACTGTTATCCATCAGGAAAGGGCGTAAGTTTTGGATAAAAGCTCAACCTGGTGCAATTAATAAGAATTTTTTTGAAGTCATATTTCTTCAGGACACTGTGTTACCGCAACAGTAAATGCTGAGGAAGGAGAAGTCCAGGAAACACAACACAGCTGTAGTAACCATTCGTGTTTGTGCTCCTTACTTCTGACAAACTAAGCAGAAAAAAGCTAAGGCTGGATAAAATGAGCAAAACCATAGAGAAACAGTCTCTTCACCCCACACTTCTGAAGTTGAAACAGTACGCTACTTGAAGCAAAAGAGTTTGAAAGACCCTTAACTGGTCTCTTTTAGCTTTCTGAGAAAGTTTTAACCTTGGGGTACAAACAGTGGGCTCTCATTCCAGCAATGACTGAAAGCAGAGCTGTGTCAGCGCTCAGACTATGAATCCTCTGAGTGTCTGTGCCCAGAAGCTGCATTCAGGGCATTAATGGCCAGTTGCTGGGATTTCATCCTTGCCTGCAACGGCTGTTAACACCTTGTAGTGGTTGTGACTTCGCAGGTAAGATACTTATTGCAGGAAGAGAAATGCTTTTGCTTGGTTTTTTGTTTGTGTGTTGAGCACTCGGAGCTGTATGTTCTGAGACTGGGATGTAAGATTAATGCGGAGTGGCCATGGTTATGGTTGCTGTGGGAACCACCACATTGAATTTCAAGGCCTAGAAATGTTGCAGCTGTCAGTCATCCCATTAATACTCTTATGTTATCATTTAATAATATCCTTATGGAATTCAGGGCACAAAACCCAAATAGTCATACAGTTCATGTTTCCCTGTCGTTGCTGATCACACTGAAAGTATCGGAGTGAATAAAAATCAGATGCTCAAATACCTCACCATGAAAATAATTCTGTTAAAGCACATGGCGACACAAAGTGGGAAAGTGAAGTGCTATGGGTGTTAACAATCGCACGGTTTTCAATCACTCGCCTGTCTCGAGGTAAGGTCCTGTTTCCTTGGAGGTGTCTGTGACCGAGACCTCCCCTCAGGGTGAGCGCTGCAGTCGGATACAAACACCGAAGTCTGTATAAGCACAGAGTTATTTCCCCGCCCAGAGGCGTGAAGCGA